TTGGCGATTAAAATTTCTTTATGTCTGAATGCAAAACAAATTTCAGCACCTTCGTATGATTATTTTATCATTACTGAGCTCTACGTACCTTTATATTTTTAGTTCACAGGACACAGTGTCGCCATCTAGTGTGCAATATATTTAATTATATTTGAAAGCCGACGCAAAGAGATTTTTCTAGAACTATTTTAATAAATTAGGTGTAAAATTACTTACAAATGAAATGTGATGCCATCCATAGCATCGGACCGTCTATCTTATGAAGCAAATACATTCAGACAAAAAAAATTTTAATCGTCAAAACAATATTTTTATAGTTTTCATAATAATTTTGGGAACAAGCCGCCATCTATCGTCAAGTAAACCTCATAAAAATAACAAAAAGACAGGGCAGCAATTAGAATTCAATTATTTTACCCAGTAACCCAACATTCAATATTAAAATGAAGGAAATTGTACTTGGCTGATTTTTACGAAAGGTTTAAGTTATATTTAAGTGACATTCTATATGCAAAGAATCACTTAAGTACAATTTAAATATGTTTATCATTTCGTGAAAGTCAACCTTCAAGAAATATTTATTTTATCCATAAAATAAAGTCCCTTTGAAACTAAATATTCTATGTTCAATATTAAGTAGGATATTTAATTTGGAACTAAATATCCTACTTATCTCACTAATATTATAAAGGCGAAATTTTGTGTGTTGTTTCTGTCTCCTTGAGCTTATTCCACACTAAGTATGTGTAATTTTTTCACGCAGAAACGGCTGGACTATTATTTATGTGTGGGTTATACTACTTAATATCTCTGAGGGAGAACAAATAATAGACAAATCATTATAATTAATATAATTTTATTTACAAATCAATTAAAATATAAATATTTTATTACAAATTAAGCATCCGAATGCACTTTTTGAATGCCAATCTAAGAACATTAAATTGTATTTAAGTGATTCTTTGCATATAGAATGTCACTTAAATATAACTTAAACATTTCGTAAATATCAGCCTAAGTACAATCTCCTGCATTTAATATTAAAAGTTGGATTACTGGGAAAATAATTGAATTCTAATTAGGGCCCTGACTTTTTGTCATTTTTATAAGGTTTACTTGACGAGAATACGGCATGTTCCCAAAAAGATTATAAACTATAAAAATAGTATTTTGCAATTAAAATTTCTTTATGTCTGAATGCAAAACAAATTTCAGCACCTTCGTATGATTATTTTACCAATACTGAGCTCTACGGACCTTTATATTTTTAGTTCACATTACACAAAGTGTCGCCATCTAGTGTCGAATATATTTAATTATATTTGAAAGCCGACGCAAAGAGATTTTTCTAGAACTATTTTAATAAATTAGGTGTAAAAATATTTACAAATGTAATGTGATGCCATGCATAACATCAGAGCGTCTATCTGAGTAGTTTTTACACAATAAAACACAACACTTCATCCTTTTCTTCTTAATACTACGAAAATACACCGATTTGCGATTTTTTCAACACAAGCGCACAGGATGAATGCTGACAGTATACTAACTAAAGCCACGCCCACTATGATGACGTCAGGACCTACTTAGAATCACAGTGCACAGTTGCTTATGCCGTCTCCCCTTTGTATTAGCTTCATGAATGCAATAGTGCTACATTTTTTCACACAATTAGGCAGCTTGTTGCAAAGTTGCACTCCCTCAAACTTAATGCCTTTCCTTCCTATGTTAGTTCTATAGATAGGCAGCGCTAGCTTGTGTCTATTTCGAGTACAATAGCGGTATGATCTTTTAGAAAATGTAGTTATTGAATGGGTAGATTTTAATAGTATTTTTTAATTAGTACGCATTTACTGTATATATAAAGTTTATTTATATTGAGTAGCTTAGTATTTTTATAGATTTTATCCGTTGGTGTTAAATAATGGTAGTTAAATAGTACCTTAATAGCCTTATTTTGACTTCGCTGTTGTACATCTAGGTTGGTTTTTGCGGCACTTCCTCAAACTTGTATTAGATATTCTAAAGGCGGCTTTACAAGAGTATTATATATTAATTTTTCAATTGATTGTGGGAAACATTTTGCTATTTTTCTTAAAATTCCTATTAAGGGTGTTAATTTAGATTAGATATTATCTATATGAGGTTTCCAGGTCAATTTATTGTCTAGAATTAGGCCTAAGTATTTTTCTTCTTTAGACTTGTGTATGAGTTCATTAGCTATAATTAGAGGTGGATGATTGGTGATTTTCTTGTTTTTAGCAGAAAAAATCATGTAAGATGTTTTTGAAGTGTTAAGTATTAGTAAGTTATTTTGCAGCCACGAATAAATTTTATTAAGAGCATGTTGGGATTCATTAATGACAGAGGCTGTTGTGTTACCAAAACAAAAAAGAGTGGTATCATCCGCAAAGAGTGTAATATGTCCTGTCAGACCTATGGTACTAATAATATGGAACATCAATGGTCCTAATATATACCCCTACGGCACACCACAGCCAATTTTTTTAGGTTGACTTTCGGATTCTCTGGCTTACCGTATCAAAGGCTTTTTAAAGGTCGATAAATATGCCTAAAGCTATTTGTTTTTTGTCAATACTTTTCTACTTCTTTAATTTTAGTTACTAAATCAATAGTAGCACTCAAAGTGTTAGACTTAGGCCGAAAACCGCTCTGTTCATCTATAAGAAATTTTATTTTGTTTAAATATTCATATAGCCTGGAGTAAATAATTTTTTCGAACAATTTAGAGACTACTGGTAGGACAGATATTGGTCGATAATTGTTAGGATCAGTCTCTTCACCATTTTTATAAATTGCTGTTACCTTTGCTATCTTTAGGCTTTCTGGAAAGTGGCCATTTTCCAGATACGTGTTAATGCAAGATTCTGAGGCTGCGGGTGTATTTCACTCTACTTACGGTTGCCGATACCAGGAAGCCAGGAAAAAGAGTTACGCACAAAACACTCTTTGCACCACACAAGCGTTCACTAAACTTCACTGTGAGACTGCTGTCACCCGGGACAGCGTGCTTGGCGCACCACGGAGAGGGCACAAAAACAGTCATCAAAAACACAGCACCAAGCAGTACCGCATACTGGAGGTGTGGTGTATTACAAATATAATTTGTGCGCATAAGCTAAGAGAGTGGAGTGACGGGAGTGTCAGCCGACATGTCCGGAGTCTACAGAGGCCAAACGCAGAATGTAATAGTAAAGTGTAATGATGACTCCCGGCGGCCAGATGCCCTTCTTTTATTCGCGCGGCAGGGTCTCTTCGTAGGTGGGCTCCCCCGTGGGGTCGCTGTGTGCTCGGTGGTCGCAGTCGTTCACCGCCCCGAACATCACGTGATGACGTTCGGGGCCAGCGGCTTCTTTCGCCGTCTGTAGCAATTAGAGAACATATATTTAACTTGTCAAAAAAGTCGCCTTTTTGTGGATTCCTTCCCATAAAGATACTACTGGAAATGAAATCGCTGATAAGACTGCATCATGCACATTGCAAGTTGCAACGAAATAGCGCATCATTAATAACATTTAGTCCATTAACTAAAATGTATGTTTATTTAATATACAAATGTATGATTTTAATAATTTAATTAAAAGATTTAATTGAAATAGATTTTAAAAATTAAACTTAATTAAATTAAGTTTTAACAATAGATTTAATTGCACCTCATCTTGCTATTATTTTAATACTACATAATAAAGTAATACCTTTTTTAAGTCTGGTAGTACAATGGACCTCGCTAATTTTAGTATATCTGTACTACCAACTGTCACTAAAATTTTTGAAGACATAATTTTAAATCAATTGTTTTTTTTTTAATAAAAATGAATTACTCCATATCCATAATAATCAATTTGAATGACGCAGGCGTCGAGCTTATGAAATATATTCTTAATGTCCAAGCATTTATTAGTTCAAAGATGCCATAGGTATTTTTTTGATCTTTCGAAGGCTTTCGATTCATCATGAGTTAATCTTGAGATATTAATCAGGAAACTACAACATTACGGTGTCAAAAATATTGCGCTTAGACTTATTATTTCGGGGTAGAGAGATCTTTTAACATAATATTGACTATAGTGCAAGCTCAGGGTGATGAGGGGATGCACCCAGTAATAATGATACAACAGCAATGGAATCGCAATCAGAAAATCGTCGTCATTATTCGCTGGCAGAATCTCTAGATTTAATGGCTAACGCCTCTCAACTGGCCTTTGTTATTCCGAACGGAAATAAATTTATGTGTGTGATGTATTCACGGAATCCCGAATCCGAATTCTGAAATGGAATCCCGAAACGGAATTCCGTATATATGTGGCCGGCCTTAAGGGGTAAATATTTTTTGAAGTTGGTAACATTGATAGACAGTTAGACACCTAGACAGTAGGGATGGGCAAAGGGAAAAAATATATCGATATATATCGAATCTATATTTTTAAACAGTATCGATATATATCGCGTGATAAATATCGATATATCGATATATCGTCATCATTTGAATGATGTAAAGATAAGTTCCAAAATTTTCTCTACTGACGGTTGGATGACGAAATAAACGATACAACATTTTAAAATATATCGAAATTGATACGAATTCGATACTCTATAATCTATATATATACTCTACATATCGCGAATTAAAGTATCGATGATATATATCGATATATTTTTAAAAAAATTAAAATATCGAAGATATATATCGATATTTTTTACCCATGCCTACTAGACAGAACATAATTGTGATTGTGAGTCTTTTGTGGAACACATTTCCATTGTGTTTTGGGTGTTTCTGTCTCATTGAAAAGTATTAGTAGCAGTCAGAATATTTTTTAAGCTGTTTAATGTTTATGTTTATATGTAATATAATTAGCAGTGTAAATTATACTTAATCTGACTCAATACGTGCTGTATGGTGATTATTGTAAATTGTGTTATTTCTTGTTTGTAGTATAGCATAAAACTTTCAAGATAAATCTATTTAATTCCACAAAATGCCGATTTTATTTAGTGTTGTTGCTCGAGGCACAGTAGTTTTGGCTAAGTATGCCACTTGTGCCGGTAATTTCACAGAAGTAACTGAACAGATATTATCAAAAATTCCACCCCACGATGATAAACTTACTTACTCTCATGGAAATTACCTCTTTCATTATATTGCTGAAAATAAATTAGTGTACTTCTGCATAACAGATGATGTAAGTAAATTTCTATACTTTTTGTGATGAAAACTACAGTTAAAGCATTATTAAAATCTTTTGTGTTATTTGTTTTTATAGAAATTCCAACGTTCGAGAGCATTCTTATTCTTAAATGAAATTAAAAGAAGATTTACTACAGCTTTTGGTGATACTGCTCAAACAGCTATTCCTTATGCTATGAATAGTGAATTTGCTCGAGTTCTTGCTACAGAAATGAAACATTATAGTGAGTCAAAAGACCTAGATACTATATCCCGAGTACATGGAGAACTTGATGAGCTTAAAAACATCATGGTTAAAAATATTGGTAAGTTACTGTTATCATAAAACAAAATATTTTTTAGAATTAAACAAAAGACATTGCTATCCGATTTTTATAAGAGGGACAAAATAACAATGACAAGAGAATTATTAACCTACTTAACACAGACTGCAATGTAATTCTTAAAACTAAAATTATTCATTGATGAATTTGCCATTTACTACAACGAAGCCAACTAGATGAGTGGACTGTAGCCTCCCTGCCATATATCTTGGGTACTGCATTGTTGTAACTTTTGAAACATTGATATGTCTGTGCATCTTAACTCTATTCAATTTGTGTATTGTTATTGTAAAGGACAGATGACTAATGGAAATAAATAAGAATAGAATATAATGTAAATAGATAGATATAGTGTCATCTAGTAATGGTATAAGGGGATCCACTACACAATATCAACTTAAATAGATGTTGGGCAGTAGCATTTTCCTAATAGGAATGCAATAGTAATAAAAAACTAAGATGTCAACCTGCCCACCAAGCATGGCATTTATGGCAAATACCCTCTCTATGATTAGGAGTCAATCTACAGGGAGGGCCTACGTTCAGTAGCCATTTGACAGACTGTAACGAATGAATAAATGGCTCTTACGACATACGGGATGATATGGTATTGTAAATTCTTTTATGCCCTACTACATGGCTACTACTATACTACATGGCCTGGCCCGGTTAGAACCTAAAATTATTGTTAGTAGTCAAACATTCAAATAGATGAATATTAAATGTTTGTTATTAGCACCTGCAACCTGCACACTGTACATATGATATCACATTTACATTAATCTACTTGGCTTGGTTGACTAGTAGTAGCAATGACGGATAAGGATAATAATCTTCCACTCACCAGATGACGCTTGTTGACACTGAGACAAAGTTTTTTGTCACAGTGTCAACAAGCTTTTAAAAGTTTATTAGTTTCTAGAGTATTATATTAATACACTAAATAATGCCTCAGTGGTTTGCTCTAATTTTTGCACATTTTTAACCCTTTTTTTTACTTTTTCTACTTTTATGAATATTCTGTTGTTTTGTTTATTTATTTTTAATCTAATTAATATAAAATATAACTAATACTTCAAGAAGAAACATTAACCTTTACATTTTCAAACAAATTTATTTCCCTCTATGTAGTCTGTCAAATATTACACCTCATTTGAAAAAAATCATGGACACCCTTATTGGAGCATATGAAATCACATTTTCATTAATCTACTTGGCTTAGTTGACTAGTAGGAGCAATAGGAATCTTCCGTGGCACTGTTGTTTTTCTGGTTCTGATAATATTTTTTTATTTGTATACATATGTTGAAGTTATCAGGACCCTTATCTATAATGTTGTTTGAATTGTATTGTGAGTAAACACTGCTCTTATGAGTCAATGTCCAGTATAATTAATGGTTTCAGATTGCAACTACATAGTTAATTCTCATTGTACATAAAAGAGCAGGAAACATTTTGGATATAGAACTTTAATTTGACGTAGTTATGTGAAAATATTCCAGTCCACAATGACTACAATTTGTGAAAAAAGCAATTTAGTGTTTCAGTGGTTTGCCCTAACTAGTATAGAAATAGTAATAAAATATAATCATTACATGATTATATTTATGAATGATGATCCATTTTTGGATATTTACGATAAATAGCTAGGTAATTAGGAAAAATAGTAATGGAGCATTTAAAAAAATATTTTTGTATGAACGGTCATTCCAAATAATTTTGCAAAAATATTCCACGAATTATTTTAAGCTTCAAAATGATATTAAATTTATAAATAAGTAAAAATAAATAATAAAATAGTTGTTTGACAGATTTGTAACAGAGATTTTTTTATACGTGGTAGAGCCATGCTGCAGCTATATTAGTAGTATAGTTGTAGCATGAATGGGTCGGCTTGACCAGGGAAGGACTACGCTCTCACAGAATACCAGCGTAAAATGGCAGCATGACAGTGCTGTGTTTCATATGGCGAGTGTAGAGATCCGGAGACCCATTTTACTGGAAAAGAGGCATTCCATTTTAGCCCTCACTGGTGACGACGCATCTGCATTATGATTCTTTATTGAGGATAAATGTAGATGTCTATGGGTCACAGCAACCACTTACCATCAGGTGGACTATGTGTTCATGAGTTACCTGTCAAATGTCTTCTCTGTGCAGATTTTTATATAAACTTTATATATTACTAATTTAATATATTAATATGAATGAGACAAAAGTTATGGTATGGTATTTGAGAGGAAATAGGCTGTATCTGTATGTGATGTGCAGGTAGATGATAGAAGTATGGAACGAGTGAATAAGTTAAGTGGTGGAATAAAACTTATTTTACAGATATAATTGTGTGTAATGTTTTCTTTCATTCTCGGCGTGTCGGGCATTGCTCCATCCCCTCAACATGATCAAATAATTTATGTATGCTTAGTTTAGCTCAGCTCTTTTCTTTATTGTCACTAACTACATCCTTTAAACTGCAACACTGTCTTATCACATCATTCCTCAATTTATTATCCATGGTCACACCACACATACTTCGCAATGAATGCATTTCTACAGCATTTATAATACTTTCATGTCCCGTTTGCTACACCCAATATTCACTTTGATACACAAGCATATTACGTGTACATCATTATATAGCCAGCCAAGGTTTTTGGACCATTCAATCATTCTGTCTCTTGTAAACAGACTTCCCAAGTACACAAACTCATAATGATTTCTAATATTTAAGTGAAAACTATACATGTTGTAAAACTAATTTTACGGGTTTTTATCACGTTCAATTTTAACTTTTTTAAATTCTCGATCCCCATTTTTAGTGTCATTGGAGTAAAACCATTGTAATTAATTAATTAAATAAATAAATAGTTAGTCACGGTAGAAAACTCAAGTGTTTGACATCCTGATGGTAATAAGAATTATCTTCAACTTTTAATTATTATTTTCGTCTGATCTATGCAGTATCTTGAAGTCTTGCAGTAGAATAGTTACGTTTGGAATTTGGATTACATTTTTATTAAAATCGGCCTGCGTGTATGCCCAGATGTATGAACGTGGACGAATCAAAAGGTGTATGTAAAAATCGTAGCAGGTGGCGTTTTGTAGTTTTTATCTTTTCCCCATCGGGAAAAGGTATGAATTTATTATTAACATCATACATACGTATGTTAAAAATAAATACGAAAGAAAAATAATAGAATCTTTTTTATTTTATTTAAAAAGGTTTATCAAAATATCGTTCGGTTCATACAATCATTTCGTCATAATATACCATTATCATCTTGTATATCGAAGGCTGGTTCTGCGCCAAAATCCATCAACATCATCAATGATGTCCTCAGAACTTGTTAAGGTATCAGTCCACAACAGACAAATCATTTTGTTTAATTTAACGTATTTCTCGTTTTTTCTTTTAATAATGACCTCATAATAAATTATTCTTTATTCTTTTCAATTTTTATCTTCATCGCTTGTACCCTATTAACTTCACTTTTATTATTGATTTTTTTTCTGCTCATTATGTTTGTTTTTACAATTTTTCTGTGCTATAAACGTCAGTCATCGATGTTTTGTAGACTTGAAAATATTTTTTGTTACTGTTTTAACATACCGACATGCCCAACGGATTAGTAAGCTGAACTGGCAGTGGGTCACACAGCCTGAAGAACCGATAACCGATAGGGAACAAAGGTTCTCGAGTGGCTCTTCTACCGGTAGGCGAAGTGTAGGGCGGCCTATGTTCAGCAGTGGACTTGTGAAGGGCTGTAATGATGACGATAATGATGATGATGAATACCTTAAAATGTTACATGAATGTTTACAGGATCGTTAACAAATCGCTTTTTTTATTTAATTAAAATTTTCCAAATACGCTGGAGCATTATTTCTACGAAAAGAAAAACAGTTCATGGGTTTGCTAAAATGTCCCAAGACGAGTGACTCACTGTAACAAAATAATAATTATGAATCGTATTAATCAAAAACGTTTCAGATGGATAAATAAATTTTATTTTTCAATGAAAAGATTTGGTTGGTAAAATGTGACTTGGAACATATAGTGAGAAATATTAAATAAGGAAATATTACACTAGGACTGAAACTTTTTTGCTAGAATGATGAGTGACTTGTGGGTTGGAACGTTTTTCCTTAATTACGTCAAATTACAATAATTAACTTTATTTTCATGTTGGCAGTGTACTACATTTAGTAATTATTACTATTGTATACATAGGAATATGTTGATTTTGACATCTTTCTGGTCTTATAGTGATTGTGTAATTTCTGAATGAGTAGTCCGATGGAGGTCATATTCACACAATAAATTTATTTTGCTGAGACGTTTGTACTCTTCTAACATCCGATAGGCGAAGCTGTAATCAAGTTACTATTTTCTTTTATATTTACGTTGTAAAAGTCCATTAAGTCTTCGCACCACCTACAAAGAAGGGCATGTTGTTCTACCGAAATTTTATCAAAGAAAGTTAATCAAATACAAAACAATTTAAGTCCCAAAGTATTGCGGCTTTATATCCTTTTATTTATGAGAAAAAGCTTACGCATGCTGGCACGGCCACAGGACTGCTTCCAGCACATATACGCGATGCTACCATCGCTACTCGCCTCTTGGCTGTGGCCCAACTCTTCCTCATATTCCTCCTCAAGCAAAGCGCGCCGGAACACAAAGCCCGCTTTTCTCCTCTAAACCAACCTGTTCAACCTATTACACCTCTAATTCATTCTAAACCAGCGCTAACTGTGTTCTGATGTAATTTAACCGTCTGCTATGCGTTACAATCCACGTTAAAATCCAATACCCAGAAGGAATACTTGAGAGCCTCAGCGAAGCTAGAGACCAGATTGTCGACCATAGTTTGTACGTGGGGGTAAAGGAGTGTGGCGCATCGATATATCGTCTTCCCTCACCCTCCGCTGTTTCATAATCATCTCATCAACGGCGCAGCACCGACAGAGTTGTTCACTCCTTTTCCCCTGTGATTTCATGTGGACAGGGGGACAGGACACTGCTTCCGCCGGTGTCGCTAAGCCCACTGGGAGCAGCTACTTTGAGCCATTGGTTTTGTTCACCGTGGGTGGTATCTGTAACTTATGCTGCAATAGTGTTGTTGCCTTTCCATATTGTTTGTTTGTTTGTTGTCTTATCCATTAATCAATCTCATAGTCTAACGGTACACCAATCGGACATGACTGCTAAGAGATCAATAAAATATTATATTAAAAGATTAAAGAATTAACTAGGAGTGGAATAATCTGCTGGCGTTTGTCTTTCTGTCCGATTACATTCAGGATATCTTCAAGGTAAAAGCGAAGAGGCTTTTGTTATGCTAAAACAGTGCGATTTGCCTTCTAGGTCTTCATCATCACTTACCACCAGGTGGGATTGTAGACAAACATTGGTTTATAATAAGTAAAAAAAAATCCACGAGGCAGTTAAATATTATACAGTGTAATAATAGAAACTACTCGTATTAAAGACCTTGAAATATTCTACAGACTATATTCTTGAGCTTGTTAGGTAGTGTATGTGTGATTTCACATAGTGAGCCATTCTATAGGAATGAAGTTGTTTGTAGATGTTTGGAATTTATTTTAATCTGTCTTATTATTCTTTGAAAGAAGTTTTTTTACCACTTTTTCTAAATATTAGTCATCATTTTCATTGGTATTTAACGTTCAACGTTTTAAATTCGTCATAACCATGTTTAGCAGGACTTTTTGACAGTCATGTTTGAGACCCCATATGCCGTGTAGTGGCGATGTAAAAAGAGTCCACTATCCTATAATATCATCCTGTTGGTATCGCAAGAGGCAGCAAGAGAAACCTAAAAAGAAATGGGCAGTAGTATCTTCCTGTTAAAACTCAGGTAATAAAAAACTGCACTTGCCGACCTGCCTACCAAGCTTGGTAACTGGCAAATACCCCACTATGAGGCAATCTCGAGGGTAGAAGATAGAGGCCTTGTTCCGATAAATTACCGACTAATTTAAACACTAATTGTAAGTATGATTCTGTAATAAAGAACGAGTATACTTAAGAAAACAACAATATTGTGGTACAGAAAACCGCTTTGTATTGCGCGAGTTAAGTGACAATCAGCGCCATCTGTTCGTCGAAGGTAAAATCTCGCCGACAGACCTATTAATAATAATAAGCAGTGGAATTTTGATAGGCTGCATAATTACTGATGGATGGCAATGATATTATGTGTTAATCACCAATCTGAAAGTTTTTGCTTATCAATTTACTTTCATCACAAATCATAATAAGTATTTTCATAAAAATAATGAACTAAGGAGTTCTAATTAAAAATATAAACATAAACTTAATTATTATTCATTACTGCTATCGTCAACATGATAGCATACAAGAGTTATTACTACAAATATGTGACCTTGTTTGTTAAAAATTTTGCCAATCGTTATTAAGCTTATCCTGATAGGAAACCAGCATAATTGCATATTGTATTATTAATTAAATAATGTATTCCGTAGTTGAATACAGGTTATTATTTCTTTATTTTACTTAAAATATATTTAAAATCAAAGTTCTTTATATAATATTGCGGCGACGAACAAGCTAACATTTGTCAGATGGTATTATGTGGCTATTGCAGCGCATCAGACAATTGTCACCAACTTCAAACAAAAGGTATTTCTGACCAAGATGGACTTTAGGGCATAGAAAGAGCTTAGAACTTTTTACAACTTCAATGTCATTTATTTTAGATAATAATTAATTACCTATCATAAAATGTTTTTGTTACTTTTTATGCTAGCATATTTTCTGTTGAAATTATTATGACTGGAAATTGTATAACTACATAATATTATTGGCTTCAATATCAAATTTTTGGCACATTGTCTCATGTTGGTTTGAGATCTACAGGTTCATGTAGGACTTATAACGAAAAAGAATATGCCAACTGCGTCGCTTTCTGTTGATTTTATGTATATGTCTTGGGTATATAGGGTATACAAATTTGACATAGGGCTCTTTTTTTGGTTTGGCGCCCTTCAGGAGTAAATTATTTTAGAATGCGCCTTTAGGCTGGATGAGGTTGCCGACCCCTGGTGTAGGCGATGGGCTAGCCGCTTATTACATCTTTCACGATTTTTCACCTAAACTCTAATATTTTTTGTGTAAATGTGGTCTAAGTAGCTCACAGTTCATTGGACACTGTCTACCTCGGGGATTACGGGCGTTTCGGATTTCATTTGGCTTCATGACATGGTACGCAATATAGCCTTTTTATGGTGACATTAATGCGATTCTAAATCCTATCACATTAATGATACATAACACTCATATAAACTATCACGCCTATTACACCAGAGGGTTAGGCAGAGAATAGGAACTTTCATTTCGCACGATCCTATACATCCGTCTCGCTTTTTTCACATTCATGTCTACGTGCACTTGCTCGTTAACTCGTTGCCGGTTAAGAGGAAATGCGGGTCGAGAGACTTGAATATTAGGTGTTTGAAGAAACTATCGCTGTCGCTCGGCGGCGTCCGATAAGGACACTACACTACTTTCTACGTGGTAGAGCCATGCTGCAGCTATATTATGGTTGTAGCACGAATGGGTCGGCTCGACCGGGGAAGGACCACGCTCTCACAGAAAACCAGCGTAAAATAGCAGCTTAACGCTGCTGTGTTTCGTATGGTGAGTGTGGAGAACCGGAGACCCTTTTTACTGGCAAAGAGGCATTCCATCTTAGTCCTCACGGGTGATAACGCATCTGCATTTTGATTCGCAAACGAGGATAGATATAGATGTCTATGGGTCACAGTAACCACTTACCATCAGGTGGACTGTGTGCTCATTTGTCACCCGATTCTATAAAAAAAAAAAAACTACAGATCCGACTGAATAGCCTAAGTAAAAAGGCATAATTCGAGGTTTGGCTCTCTACCATTTCCTCCTCCAATATTAGACCAATTTAAAAGATATTTCATAAACAGAATAAGAAGGATATACACTGTGTCCCTATGTTTTTCTTTTTTCAGTATTAGTTATCAAATTTGAACACTAAGCCTCTGTTAACAGCGGTCTAATTAGGCAATTTTGAACATTTTGTAAGGGTTCTCGTGCTTATAAAGATACAGTATCACTAAAAAGGAAAACATAGGGACATAGAAGAGGTTGATATTTATTTCACTGTAAAAACTCATTGCTATAAGGTCATAAACCAGAAAGAAAACAGACGAGAGCGTTTGTATGGAGAAAAGACCACCCACATTTCCTCTTATGGATACTTTTATTTTTGTTCAACCTTCAATATATCGCCAATTTGGTCGATAAACTTCGTCTATTTCGTCTATTGCCGTGCTCACTCACTTCTTAGTAAGTTCTTATTTAATACTAACGATCCGCCCCGGCTTCACACGGGTGATTTTTGGATCTACAACATATGCATGTATTACACATATAAACCTTACTCTTGAATCATTCTGTCCGAATGACGGATTTTGATGCGAAAACCGTATCAAAATCCGTTGCGTATTTTAAAAGATCTAAGCGTACAGACGGCGGGAAGCGACTTTGTTTTATACTACGTAGAGAAGACCATAGAATGGAAGTTTACCATTGTGTTATGATTATATGACACATCATTATGTTATTATTATCTCTCAAAATTTGTTAACGCAATTAGAAATATTTTCACTATAGAATTACTGATTTTATAAAATAATAAATTAAAAACTCAATTCATATGACTTTTACTTCGATAAATTCTCTAAAATAATTTTAATTTGTTATATTACAGATAACATGGCAATGCGTGGCGAGAAACTAGAACTGTTAGTAAACAAAGCTGACAATTTAGCTACAGGTGTAAGTATTAATACCAATCCGTAATTATATTCTTGAAAATCACTGGTAACAGTTCTAAAAAGGCCATAAAGAATCGAAGCTCAATTTAAAAGAAAATGTCAATGGTCATGTGGTTTTTATAATTTTTTTATAGGATAGGATGACTAACGAGCACACAATCCACCAGATGGTAAATGGTTGCTGTGACCCATAGACATCAACATCTATCCTCAATAAAGAATAAATATGCAGATCCTTTGTCACCCGTGAGGATAAAGATGGAATGCCTCTTTTCCAGTAAAAAGGGTCTCCGGTTCTCTACACTCACCATACGAAACATAGCAGTGTTCAGCTGCTATTTTACGCTGGTATTCCTGGTAATGGTAACAAACAAACAACTCTATCTCTGTAAAGAATCTATCCTCTTTTAAGAATCAATATTGGCGTAGTAGAGATACGCTGCAGCTATATTATGGTTTTAGCACGAATTGGTCGGCTCGACCGGGGACAGACCACGCTCTCACATAATATCAATGTAGGTAGCAGTTTAATGCTGCTGTGTTTCATATGGTGAGTGTAGAGAACCGGAGACCCTTTTTAATGGAAAAGAGACTTTCCATCTTAGTCCTCATGAATGACAACGCATCTGCATTTTAAATCTAAATCGAGGTTAACTGTAAATGTAGACAGATGTCTATGGGCCACATCATTTACCATCTGGTGCACTGTGTGCTCGTTTGTCACCCATATACTATAAAAAAAAAATATGCAGATGTGTCACCCCTGAGGTCTAAGATGTCTCATTACCAGTAAAAGAGAATTTCAGTTCTTGTCAGTTATCGGTACTATACACAGCAGCCAAATAAAAATAAAATAAATATGTATTTTGATCTGGTATTCTATCGGAGCATGGTCCTTGGTCCCATTTATGATGCCCTTTATAATTGCTGCAGTAAAATAGCTTCATCTTGGCTGTACTATATAAAAAGTACAACATTCACAATACACATACAAGTAAAGATACTATAGCTGAAAGGTGAATCATAAACATTTTTAAAGGATTCTAAAAATCTTTGATGGCGTAAGAAAAAAAAGAAAATGACTATTTTTTTTATAGTATAGGGTGACAAACGAGCACACAGTCCACCTGATGGTAAGTGGTTGCTGTGGCCCATAGACATCTACACTTATCTTCGTTTGCGAATCGAAAATGCAGATGCGTTGCCACCCGTGAGTACTAAGATGGAATACCTCGTTTCCAGTAAAAAGGGTCTCCGGTTCTCTACACTCACCATACGAAACACAGCAGTGTTAAGCTGCTATTTGACGCTGGTATTCTGTGAGAGCGTGGTCCTTCCCCGGTCGAGCCGAGCCATTCGTGCTTCAACTATACTACTAATATAGCTGCAGCATGGCTCTACCACGTATAAAAAAAGCACAGACTAAAAGCACAGAACCACGTACATCGATGATTTTTTTTACCACTAGGTAAAATATTCCTAAAATAAAAATTAATATTCAAAATCATTAAAATTTCAATAGAGCAAATAAATGGGTGCCACTAGTTAAACCCAAGCAAAAAGAGCTTACAAGTAAGCTCTTTTTGCGTAGATATAGGCGATCATATTAAGTCTTTAACTATGAAATTTCCCTTTTGTTGAACTAACCACTTTGAACTGTGTTGCCAAGCTATGCTTTCAATTGGAATACTATATTCAATAAATTTTATAATTAAGGCATGTTATTCCTTTTTAAAAATCAGTTGTTCATTTGGTTCTTCGATATACCGCTATAGTTTTAATATAAACTTCTTCGGGCTAATCTTTCGTTTCGGTCACTGTTAGGCTTTGCCACCTGGGATTAACAATTGTGATGAACGCTTTCGATTGTCGTATAGGATCCACATCCTCATCACAGGTAAAAATTCGACTCAAAATTCCGTTCTTTCTATATCGATTCAACAATACGATCCAAGCATGCAATCTTGGGCGCGGATATCTCTGGGCGTCACTTAGTAAAATGCAGAAGCTTGACAAATGGGTATCTCACCAACTGTGTGGTAACCAATTGTGAAGCTTCTTCAATTTACCGAATTGCCGCAAATTATCTAATACTGTTTTTGATACTTACATGAACATCTGACACCAGTTTAGCCGTAGCTTGAGACGAATCCGTTTCCACTATCGCCTTCAATTCGTCATTATAAACCTTTTACCGAGCGGCCACGAGGTTAACTTATAACGTCAAATTTTCTGAATGAAAGCGATTGAACCAATAAAGCGAACGAACTTTATATATAATAACATTATATATAATAACACGTACTTTCTTAGTAATAGTCATAAATGTAACGATAATGCAGAAAAACAAAACCTAAAGACACCAATGAATAACTGATTATGAAAAAGGTATAACATGATGTCTTAAATTATTAAATTTATTTGAATTTAGAATAAATCATAGGTAAAGAACTAATAAGTTAAACGTAGGTCGCATTGATAAATTTAACCTCGCTGACAAAAAATTTTAAAGCACAAAGAACTCGAAACTTCAGAAATTTAAAAGAAGTTAAAATATATCTATACAAATAAATCTAAAAATAAATGGGTTGGTTAACCAACCGAAGAAGAACCACGCTATAGTAGCTTAAATAGCAGCGTATTGCTACTGTGTCGTCTGGTGAGTGGTGTGAATCGAAAACCATTTTTATTCGTAATTAGCGATCCGTCCCAGTTTCGCACTGGTGATTTTTGGATCTCAATAATAGCGCCACCTACCGGGTCCGATTGTTAATCTAAACTATCCAGGAACCCACTCTAATACCCAAAAAAAATCATCAAAATCAGTCCAGCCATTTTCGAGTTTTTGCGAGACTAACGAACAACACTCAAACGTGGTAGAGCCATGCTGCAGTTATATTAATTGTATAGTTGTAGCATGAATGGGTGGGATCGACTATGGAAGGACCACGCTCTCATAGAATACCAGCGTAAAATAGCAGTTTAATGCTGCTGTCTTTTGTATGGTGAGTGAAGAGAAACGGAGACCCATTTTACTAGAAAAGAGGCATTCTATCTTAGTCCTCACGGCGGACAATGCATCTGCATTTTAATTCACAATTTAGATGTAGATGTCTATGGGCCACAGCAACCACTTATCAGCAGGTAGACTGTGTGCTCATTTGTCACCCTTATTCTATTAAAAAAATACTTTTTATATAGAGATAAGTCATTCCATCTTATATCTACATAACTCTTATATCTACAATATATTTTGATTTCACTGCTTCGTTGATCTAGTGGTCGTAAATGTGACTGCTGATCAATGGGTCCATACTCCATACATCATGTGGATCAAATAAATAGAGATATACGATTAAGATGTACATTTTTTAAACAAAACAATAGTCACTCAAATGTATCACTAGTTCATTTTAGTTCAATAGCTCTACTGACACTGTTATTATAAACTATATAGTTCATCGTTCTTTTCTATCTTTGGATCCGTATAGAGACTGTAATTCAGGTGATAGAGATAAACTGAATTTATCTGCATATATTTTATTAACATTCATTACTGAAAAGAAAACTAACTTATCGTCATTTAATTATTATGTTATATACGCAAAATTTATTGAGTCGTGATAATATTCGTTTGACGGAATATCTTGCGATTAAGTTGAGAAAATGGTTAGTAACATAATTACATGACAAATACAGCAAAGATAGCGCCACTGACAGTGTGCATGCAATTTTACGTCGAACACCAAGTTATTTGTTGATACAATAGAATACACTGATACATTTTGAGAGCGGGCGAACGATGGATAGTGCGCGAACTACCTATGTCTAGTTTGTACAACCTATGTGAGCTTGAGCAAATCTTTCGAAGTCGCATGCCTTTATTAGCAGGAGGCATTATAAAAAGACCTATACTTAGCAATGTATTTATAGAAACTCCCAAATAATAATTTTATATAGTTTTTTTTTATAGAATAAGGGTCACAAACGAGCACCCAGTCCACCTGATGGTAAGTGGATGTTGTGGCCCATAGACATCTACATGTATCCTCGATCAAGAATCAAAATGTAAATCTGTTGTCACCCCCGAGGGCTAATATGGAATGCCTCGTTTCCAGTAAAAAGGGTCTTCGGTTCTCTACGCTCACCATACAAAACGCAGCAGCCTTAAGCTGCTATTTTATGCTGGTATTCTGTGAAAGCGTGGGTTTAGCCCGGTGGAGTTGACTCATTCTTGCTACAACTAATATAGCTGCAGCATGGCTTTACCATGTGTAAATATCTTATCTATAATATAGTATCTTGATTAATCAGAAAATTAAACAATAATACTGGATTGTAAAATAAATTTGCTTGTAAACAAAATATTTAGGTGCTTGAAATTAAATATGACTATATCATATCTAATTTAATAAAGGGAATGGGAAACTGTTTGTCTCATTATGATAATTGCAGAATACCGCAACGCAAAAACGATAGTGATCATATATGTATGTACTTGACATATATTCAGGCCGTAACAGTCCACTGCTGGACATAGACTTTTCCAGTTATAGGGAGAATTTGTCTTAATTTCCACGATTGACAGATGGATTGGTTCATCCTTGACGTAGTACGATAGTTGCTTTTAAAACTACCGCGATTTCGAAATGTACTTTTTCTATACTTAAATGTACTGTGGCGTACCGCAAGGTCGTATAAGTTCTCCGTAAATTTTTTCAGTTTTTATAAACTTGATCACATCTACTCTTAACTGTCTGTACCATCTGTATGTTGACGTCTTCTAAATTTATTTGCAAATCATCTATTGAAGAGCTCCATGATGCAATTAGAATGTTAAATCAGAACATACAAACCGTAAAACAATGATCTAGGCGTTTTGGAATATCAGTTAATCCAACGTAGTGTCGGGCCATACTCGTAGGTAGCTCGAGAATGTTGTCCAAAATTGATTTCGCAAACCAACCTGCTGTCAATTACAGTGATATACTGATACCGTTC